TTGTTGAAAATTTAAGATAATTTATTTAATAATTTAATTTAATTATAATAATAATAACATCCAAAATATTAAATATATATATATATATATATATATATATATAATACAAAATTTTGTATTTTTACAAACTTAGTATATATATATTTATACATAAATTTTTTTATTTAGTAATTAACAAAACAATTGTTCAATAATTTATAGGATTTATACGCAAAATTAGTTACCGATGCGGCCGTTATTAATATAAATAAAAATGACATTAACGTAAAAAATAGGCCATAAATTAGTACCAATTTGACAATAATATCCATCGATACAAAACCAATACAATAGATTAGGGCAACAATAGTCGTACCCATTGTTAGCCAAACGTTTAGCAAAAATTTTGACCAATAAGTGCGGTTATAGTCGGAAATTTCGGCAAACAATTTGTCCATTAATTTCATTATTGTTTGAATACGTTTAGTAGGAGTAGTATAATGTTTACTAAGTTTTTTCTTATGAAATAATTTTAGTAATTGTTTATAAATAGCCAATTGTTTTAGTTTTAAATACATACATAATATATAAAAGTATAGGCATTGATATAGCATTATATTCCATATATGATAACACCATAGACTAAACAATAGGGTATTGGGTATACCATAGACTAGTGTATAAACTAATGGTATATTTAACATATAGATTAATAAACTTAAAAACAATCCAAACATTATGGGTATAAATTGATTATTTTTTTGAAAACTAATAGATAGTATACGCATACGTTTCGTAAGCTTATGGACGACCAGGCGATCGGTTAGACCAACCGCAAGGGGTGTCCGTAAACCGGACATCATTTCAAATACCCGTAAAAATGTTGGTTTTATACCCGACCTGTAGTTGTATGAATAGGTTAACATTGATATTAGTAGAAACATTGTTATCAATGGTATCGATATTTTCGATAGTAATCTGATTTTCAAAAAGTATGGCCAATCGCCTAACCGGGCAAACAGTAGCCAATCATCCGTATCATTGATAAATAACATACATATTAGTCGTTGAATTAAATAAACTAATGAAACAATTAGTATAATTACGGGTCGATTAAACCATAGTCTCTTTGGTTGTTGAGGACAACAATCATCGGCGACTGCGGCTACTAATCGATGGCTACTTAAGCCGATTCGGTATAAATGATAGGCCGCCGATTTGTAGGCCATATTTGCGGGTAATAAACGATTTGTTGAAAATTTAGACATTATTTTTTGTTTAGTTAAAAAAAAATTACTTAAAAATTAAATTTTAATTTTATTTCTGTTAATTCAATTATGACTATTGTTGTTGAACTAAACTATTATATTATTATTTAATAAATATTTAATGTTTACAATAATATATAGTTAATGTTTTTTCATTAATACAATAAACATCATTAAAATAACACAATCATTAATTTTTAATTGTTTTTTGTAGTATAATATAGATAAATAATATATATATTATTTATTTGCTAATGTGTTTTTTTATTACTATATTATTTAAATTTATTTTTTTTATTTATAATAATTTATAAATTATTAAAAAAATAAATAAAATAATTAATGATGATTATATAAAATATTATTCAATAAAATAAATTATTTTATCTAATATTTTCAAATTTTATTATTTGTAATATACTACTTAAATACAGTACACAATTGTTTATTATAAGTTAAAAATTTAAGCATTTTATAGTTAATTTTTTATTTAAATTTAAATTTAAAAAAATGTTGTTTTATTTGAATTGTCTAACTATTTAATAATTTATAAAGTATTTTATATTTATATTATATTTTATATTAAATTATTTTTTTAATTAATAATATATCTTATGTTATATCTTAAATTTATATATGTATGTAAAATATACATAATTAGTGTATATAATAGTATTTTAAAAATAAATTATTAATTTGTAAAAAAATAATTATAATTTATATTAAATACTATAATTATAAAACACTAATAAGTTTAATAACTTATATTAAATAAAAATAATGTTTATTTTAAATTATAGACATAATAATAAATATAATATAATTATTGTTGTTATTAATATATAAAATGCAAATAAAAAATTTGCTTAAAAATATACAATTTATTTGTAAAAAATATAAAACTATAATATATATATAAAATTTTAAAAGTTTGTAATAAATATACGATTATTTGTTTAATAGGATAATATTATAACAAAAATATAATGTTATTAACCTAATAATAATAGATAATAATAATAATAATCAATATATTGAAAATACAGTATAAAACAATATATTTAATAGTTTTATACTGTATTTTCAATAATATATTTAATAATTTTATTTCAAATATTTAAATAATAATTATATTATTATAAAAAAATTAATAATAATTCTAGAAAATTATGATATAAAAACAACAAACAAAAAATTATTTCTAAGTAATTGCCAAAAAAACATATAGAAAATAATATAATTATTGCTAAAAATAACTAAATATTAATTACTAAATAAATATTTTTGTATAATTAAATTAATTATAAAAATTAATAAAATAAAATTATAAATAAATTATTCTCTACTATAGACTATTTTATTGTGTTATCAAAAAAAAACTAAATTATAATAATTTAATTATAAAATACCAAATATATTACAATTATTAGCTAATTATAAATATTTATTTTTTTAAAAAAAACTTAAATATTATAAAATATATTTTTTTTGTTAACTTTTCTACGACAAAAAAAATGTCTGAATTTTTATCAAACAAACTATTGCCCGAAAATCAGGTATACAAGTGGTCGGCCTATCATTTATACCGAATCGGCTTAAGTAACCATCGATTAATTGGCGTCGCCGATGATTGTTGTCCTCAGAGACTATGGTTTAATCGACCGATAATTATACTAATTGTTTCATTAGTTTATATACATATAAACCTAATCTGTTATTTTCAAGACAATGATAAACATTATGATTGTCTACTTATGGCACAGTTAGGCGATTGGATCAGCATATGGCGATTGGGTAGTTTCATACATATTGCACTGATATTGGTTTTATTATTTATAATACTATCTGAATTAATATATATCTATAACTATATCAATGATATTGAACCTCGATTTTTACGTATATTTCAAATGATGTCCGGCTATCGGTGGACACCCCATGATATGGGTCTAACCAACCGCCAGGACATCCATAAGCTAACCCAACGGATGTATTGGCTGTCCATTAGTTGTCAATTTAATAGCAACTATATATTGCCATTGTTTTCCCTTATGGTTTCAATGGGTGCATACATCCTGAATATGCCCCTAAAATATTGTCTACTATATGGTATACCCTATTATCCGTTTCATACCCTTAATGCCTATTATTTTGGTAATATAATACCCTATCAAGTGGTCTACTTTTACATACTGTGCCGCTATTTAAAGCTTAAACACCAGAAAATCAATAAACAATTATTGATAGCTAAACGTCAAACAATTACCAATTATAATAATACTAAACGTATTCAACTGATTATAAAATCAATGGACAAATTGTTTGCCGAAATCTCCGACTATAACCAGACTTATTGGTCAAAATTTTTGCTAAATGTTTGGCTAATATTTGGTACGACCAGTATTTTTGTCTTATATATCATTGTATTTGTTTCAATGGATATTATACCCCAATTGACATTAATCTATGGGCTAATTGTTTGGTTGATTTTATTTTTATTTATTATATTTACGGCCGCATCGGTCAACACTAGTATTAACAGATCATATAAATTACTTAATTATTTTTTTTGTATTATTTTAAAATAATTAAAAAAAAATTTTCTAATAATTATGAATATATTATGAAAATTTCAATTAAAATATAAAAAAATAATTCTACCCATAAAATACATAATTACTATATTTTATTATTATTATTATTATTACTGTATTATTATTATATAAAAAATATATATATGTTTAAAATTTTAAATGTTTATAATAATTTTATCATTATTTATTTTTATAGCATAATAGTGTAATTATTTTTAAAAATATCAATAAAAATATAATGTTATTAACCTAATTATATGAATAATAATCAATATATTGATAATACAGTATAAGTAAATGTATTTATTTTATTTTGTAATATTTAAATAATTATTATATCATTAAATAAAAATTAATAATAATTCTAGAAAATACTAATACGAAATAAAAATAAAAAAAATTATTTCAAAATAATATAATTAATGCCAAATAACTAAATATTTAATAACTAATGAATTTAATATTTAAATTATTATAATATTAATAATAAAAAATAAATTTTAATAACTATAATAATTTAGGACTGTATATTGTTTTTTATTTAAAAAATATTAGACAATAACAAAAATTTACAAAAATTTAGTTGTTTATGAATTTTATATTATTTTTAAATTTCGATTTTTTTGATAGTTTTTACGGTTAAAAAATACTATAATTATTTCAAAAATAATTGTCAAAATATAACAAATTATAATAATTATTACAAAATAATAATTTTTAAAAAAATGTTAATGTATTATAAACTAATAATTTTTTCATAATAAATATTATACAATAAAATATTTCATTAAACTATTATTATTTTTTTAAAATAAAAAACATTTTACAATTTTTATTGATTAAAAAAACTTATTAATAGTATTATTATAACGATATTATTATACATCAAAAAATAAAAAAAAACAAAATGAAAATAATTATTAAATGAATTTTAAAAACAAAAATTTGTTTGTTTATCACTAAAAATATAGACAATTATTAAATATATTAATAGTGTATAATATATAAATTATATTACAGTATATACTGTATGTAATGTTATATATATATATAATATATTGATATTTATTGGTATATATATATATACAGTACAAACAAACTATAATTTTAATTTTATTTTATTTAATTATATATATATAATTATTAATTAATTAATTAATTAGCAAAATGTTTGATCGACATATTTCAGGCCATCCATCAATGGCCAGCCATTAACCGTATCGGGTGTCTGGCACAGGGGTTCATCAAAATAGCGTTTATTATCTAATTTATCGGTTAAATCGTTGGCAATCCAGGTTAGCTTACATCGACAATCCCATGGATTATCAGCCAATAGTATGACCTAAATTGTTTGATTAAAAATAAAAATGAAAAATAAATGTAATTTATCTAAAAAATTAAAAAATAATAATAATAATAATAATTTTTAATAATGTCTACTAAAATTAAAATGCTAGACAATTAAACCCTGTAATCAATATATTTTTTTAGTTTAGTATATAGATATATAATTATATATACAATTAATTACTTAAATTTAATTTAATTAAACTTATTAAAAAAACAAATAATAGAAATTAAATAAATATTAATAAGTAAATAAACATTAATAATTAATTAGATAATAATAATAACAACAACAACAAAATTTATTTAATTAATACATTTAATTATTTATAGTAAAATAAAAATTATATATATATAATAATAATAATACCAAGGTTAATTAAAATTATATCCATAAAAAATAAATAAATAAATAACAAATATAGACAAATATCATATCATAAAAAATAATTATAATATTTTATTGATTACTAAAAAAAATAAATTAAATACTTTATTAAATTAATTGCTAATACCTGCGGACTACCGATAGACGAAATATACGGCAAAGTGGCCAATTGGTTACCCGATAGGTCAATCTGTCTAAGTTGGGGTAGTTTATCAAAAAAATCGGCGCCCAATGTCTGCAACCGATTTGAGGCCAACCGCAATGATCGTAGTTTATATAGATGTCCACTGAATACATGCCGTGATAAATGGGTCAGTTGGTTATGGCTCAGGTCTATCGATTGTAATTCAGCAAAATTATTGAAAGCACCCGACTCTATCAGTGTTATATTGCAACCGATTATGGACAGCCTGGCCAACGGTAGGGCCTCATTGCGGGTGCCGTATTGGCCTAAATATTTAAAAATAAATTTATAAAAAAATAAAAAAATTTAAATAACTATTAATATTATTATTAATGATATTATTTTTTTGTGTATAACATATCTTAATAATTTTATTATTAATCTAAAAAAATTAATTTTTATTTTTGTGTTTTGTTTTGTTTTTTTTTGGAAATTAATTTAATTTAATTGAATTTATTTTTTTGGTTAAATTTTTTTAATAAGTTATATAATAATTATGATTATATACAGTATATATATGTAAAGTTTATTAGTTATATTGATATTATATTATAGTATGTAATAGTATGTAATAGTAGTAAAAATATGTAATAATAATGTTTTATTTTTTGTTTCTAAATATACTGTACATTATATTATGATTAATAACTGTTAATATACAGTATATACTGTATATATATTTGCTAAGTTAACAAATAGATGGTATGTTTAGTGATAATAATAATAATAATAATAATAATAATAAAAGAAAAACTATATTAATAATTATAATTAATGATATTTTATCAAATATAATAAACATAAATAATAATTATGGTTTGTATTACAAAATTAACTAATTTTTTGTTTTTATTAACATAACACTGTATATACTGTATATATAGTTAATTTTATTAAATAATTAAAATATATATATATATATTAATACATATATAGTATAAGATAGAGTTAATGCATAATTAATTAATAATAAAATTTTAGTTAAATTTATTATATATATATATAATAATAATAATATTTGTTATTTTAACTCTATCTTAAAATGTATTTGCCAACAAAAAATAAATAAAATAAAATTACTTTAGCCTAAATTAAATTATCAATGCCATAATTTAGATAATTAAAATTTATGATTATTTATTATATAAAATTAATAATAATAATAATAAAAATAATAAACAAAAAATATATATATGAGCTGTTTAAATAATAATTTTAAAGTTTTTTTAAACTTAGAGATCTAATATACTAATGATTGTTTATTTTTTTGTTGAAAATTTTAGTGATTGATAATTATCTGTCATAATTAATAATTATAATAATAAAATTATTCAAAATAAAATTATTACTTAGAAAATAACAAATAATATTTATTTTTCCTAACTAATTAAATTAATAGTATTAAATTAGTTAAATTAATATTATTAACTAATTAATTAAATTCATATACTAGCTAAATTAATATTAAATTAATTAAATTAATATTAAACTAATTAAATTAATAGTATTAACTAGCTAAATTAATTATATTAACTAATTTAATTAATATTATTAACTAATTAAATTAATAGTATTAACTAGCTAAATTAATATTATTAACTAGCTAAATTAATATTATTAACTAGCTAAATTAATATTATTAACTAGCTAAATTAATATTATTAACTAGCTAAATTAATATTATTAACTAGCTAAATTAATATTATTAACTAGCTAAATTAATATTATTAACTAGCTAAATTAATATTATTAACTAGCTAAATTAATATTATTAACTAGCTAAATTAATATTATTAACTAGTTAAATTTAATAGTATTAGCTAAATAAATTAATAGTATTAAACTAATTAAATTATAATTATTAACTAATTAATTAATTAGTAGTAATAGTAAAATCATAGCCAAAACCTAAACATTTAGTTGAAAACGTAGCGGAAATCATATCGCCGGCCATCAGTGACTCTTTGATAACCAGTTCCCCTAATCGTTCAAATTTTATCTGAAACAATGAACAAGTAGTGGTAATCCTCAGCGAATTCCCCGTCATCAGCAACCGGTCGACATCCCTGTCCACCTGTGCCAACAGGTTATCATAGTGTTTAGGTTTACTACAATCACCCAGGAAGTTTAACCGCTGGAATTTCGGTCCATTAGTAAAAATATCGGGTGTCAGATGAAATGTTTTAGTTAGTGTATCAAACGGTTGGATACAATGGACAGTCAACTCCAGCCAATAGTATCGTCCGGTTGTGTTCAACAAGTGATTGAAAGCAAACAGCAGGTCCTCCGCAGACTCTATGTTATAGCAGTTTAGCTGTTGGGCTCCGGGATCGCAATCACAGTAGACATCCTCGAAACTATAGGAACAGTTAGTGCTGATGATGGATGTGCTGGCGGTAGTAGTGATGTTTGATTTGATGACCAATTGATGGTTGCTATTAGGGTTAGTTGACTGTTGAGTTGTTGTTGCGGTGGTTAGGCTGACATTGAACTCGCCTATCAAACAAAACTCGATGGCTATCATCAACAATAGCCAACAATAGTTTTTTTGATGGCCATCCATATTGTTGTTGATGATAATGTGGATCAACTTAATGGTGTGATGATGTTTAAGCAAACATAATAATAATAATAATAATAATTAAATCACCAAAATAATTATGTCATCACTATATACATGTATATTAGAAATATATTGATTTTTTTTTATTATCAATTGATAACCAAAAAAAATAATTTAATGCAAATTAGTTTTTGAAAATTATTATTATTATTATTATTAGTAGTAGTAGTAGTAGTAGTAGTAGTAGTAATAGTTGTCGACATGTTTTTTAAATACATGTGTTATATATATAATTACAGTATTTTATCATATATTTAAAAAAATTATGTCATATTCAGATATTAGATGATTAAACAACAAAATTATTATTATTATTATTTAATTTTGATTTTTTTTGATTAACATTAAAAAATTATTTTTTTTAACAACATAGACAACAAAACATAGATTTTTTTTAAAAAAATTATTTTTTTAATAACAAAGTTTTTTTTTCTGTGATTTAATAATAGTTTGTTTGTTTGGTTTTTTCCAATACACATATACACTGAGAAAAAAATATATAGAGGTTTAGGAGGGCATTGAACTAATGTCTTGAAAGAGACTACAAAACAGTGAGAGAGAGAGAGAGAGAGAGAGAGAGAGAGAGAGAGAGAGAGATCTTTAAGATGATTGAGAGCTCTCTGTCTTCAATGAAGTGTCTTTCAAAAGATGTAGTGAAATATGAGAGTCAATAGAGAGAGAGAGAGAGAGAGAGAGAGAGAGAGAGAGAGAGAGAGAGAGAGAGAGAGAGTCTTCACAACAACGATAATAATGATAACTCATTTGGTTTTTGTTATACAAACTTATTTTCTTTGAATATAACACTATATATATATATATATATATATACAGTGTATATGTATTTATTTTTTTGCCACTACTTACTACTTCAACAATAATAATAATAATAATAATCATAATTTTCATCTATAACTGTGCTCTCTCTCTCTCTCTCTCTCTCTCTCTCTCTCTCTCTCTCTCTCTCTTTCTCTGCAACTCTGAACAGTTTCATCAATACTTTTACTTATTATATATATATTTGTATATAACATATACACTGTATATAACAGTAATACATATATATATATAAACGGCTTGTTATATGTAGTGGTAAAGTGTTTTATCTCTCTCTCTCTCTCTCTCTCTCTCTCTCTCTCTCTCTCTCTCTCTCTCTCTCTCTCTCTCTCTCTCTCTCTCTCTCTCTCTCTCTCTCTCTCTCTCTCTCTCTCTCTCTCTCTCTCTCTCTCTCTCTCTCTCTCTCTCTCTCTCTCTCTCTCTCTCTCTCTCTCTCTCTCTCTCTCTCTGTTTCTCTCTCTAACTCTCTAACTCTCCCCTCATAGATATGAGACATAATTGGCATAATTTGTTTGAAACATATAAAAGACATATTTTTTATCTCTCTCTCTCTCTCTCTCTCTCTCTTACTTTGACTCTCTATTTTGCTGTCAATTATTATCTAACAAATTGTAATAAATATTACATATGTCTCTCATATATAGAGATAGATAGTACTTATACTGTATTATATAACTTATAAATACTATATATATTTATATATATATATATATATATATATAAAACAGTAGTTTTCTTTGTTTTTGTCCAATTATTATATACAATATATTGTATATACACTGTGTGTATGTATTAATGTTTTAGATATAATAAATGATTATATTATATCATATCATATATATATATATTGTCAATGTTTCAGATTCACACAAATATGTTGTTTATTTAGCATAATATTTATATCAAAATAATAATAATAATAATAATAATAATAATAATAATAATAATAATAACAGTATTATATTGTGTACAAAAAATATTTGTATATAAGTTTATACAAAACATATGACATGTACTTTAATTTATTTAAAAAAAAATTATTTTTGTTTTATGTATATGTATTTATAAATTTTTGCTAACTTATGTAATAATTAATACATTGAAAATATTATTTTTTGAAAAGTGAAAGTTTGAATTTATTTATTTAAATAAATTGTTGATATCATCAAAAAAAACAAATTTCACAGAAAAAAATGTTTGAATTTATTTTTATAATAATAATATATGAAATACTAATAAATTTTTGTTTTAGTGTTTGAAATGTTTGAAAATATTATTGGATTTTATTTATAGTAATATTTTTTTAAAAATGTTTTTTTTATATTCAATTATTATTAATTTAAAAATTATAATTATATAAATTATGTTAATTAAAATTATTATTATTATTATAAATATATCTAAATTATTAGTGTTAATGTGATAAACTTAAAAATAAATTTATTGCTATTTTATTATCTAATAAAATTTAGTGATAATATTTTTTTTATTTATCATATTAACTGATAATTGTATCATAAAATAAATAAATACATTAAATATATAAATACTTAAATTTAAATTTTGTTATTTATTAAATAAATATATATATAATTTATAGCTAAGATTTTATTTTATTTTTACAAAAATTTCAATAATTTTTAGTGATTTTGTTTTACTATTTAATTATTAATTATTTTAATAATTTATTTAGTATTTAATTATAATATATATATTATTTATATTAATTCTACATTTATATCAAACAGTAATTTTTAAGTCAAATTCAATGACATTAACAATGTATTAGTAATTAAACAAATAATTATATGATAATAAAAATTATTTTATCAAAAATTTTTTTATCAAAAAAATATAGCTATTATTATTATAATGGTATTAATTTTTATCATCAAAATAATTATATAGATATATATTGTAGTCTAAGATACAAAATACTGTAAACACTGAGAGACAATAAATACAATAAACACAATAAATAGCATCTAATTTATTAAATATTATATTAAAAAACATATTATTATATTTATTATACGGTAATAAAAATTAATTAATAATAATTATTATTATATTAAATTAAGTCTCCATATTATTATTAATAGATTTATTTTAGTTTTAATTTTGTTGTTGTTTTGTTGTTAAACTTATTTAAAATAAAATAATTATTTTTATTATTATTATATTTTTTTATTTTTATTTTTATTAATTATGTTTCAGTCGGACAGATATATGAATGGCTATACAATGCCTACGGAGCCGATAATATTGACATCATTTTCATCAAAAATTTTCGTACCATTAGTTTCATTGCAAAGATATCTATTGGATAATCTCGACAAACATAGCGATCAACTAGTGGTAAGTGATTATCAATAAAAAAATAATTTAATTAAATAATAATTAAATTAAAAACACCGACAGATTGACAGCCAATCAAACATCAGTCATACGTTTCACGATATTGATTGCGATGCCCGACGTATGGCCACCGCTTTGCTGGCCATTGGGCTCCGGGAGGGCCAACTGTTTGCCATAATCGGCGAAAATAGCTATCAATATTTGATCCTATATTTGGGTGCATTAATAGCCGGTGCTATGGTTTTCGGTATACCATCGACCGATAGCTATCGTTAGTTTAATTAAAATTTGAATTTAATTTAATTAAATTAATTAATTAATTAATTATTTTGTTTGTTTTGTTTGTATATTAGAAAGTATTTGCGACAAAATAATCCAACAAAATATCAAATTGTTGGCCATATCGGCCACAAGTAATCTAAGTTATGCCAAACGTATATCAGATGGTATACCCATTACACAGGTATTTATAGTGAGAGAGAGAGAGAGAGATAGAGAGAGAGAGAGAGAGAGAGAGAGAGAGAGAGAGAGAGTAAGGGAAACGGTATCTATAAATTGTTTATAAACTTATATTAACTAACTATTAATTAAAATATATTATTTGATTGATTTGTTTGATCTAATAATTTGTTTATTAGTTATATTGGATATCAAACAAAATATATATTATATTATTTTAGTAATTTCAACAACAAAAAAAATATTTATTAAAAAAAAATTAAACCCAATTATTAGTACAGTTAGTTATTAGTTATAATTTAACAACTTATTAGTATTAAAATTAAGTTTTTTTTTTGTATTATTATTATTAAATTAATAAAATAGTTTAAAAAAATAAATTTATATCAATTTGATAATAATAATATTATAAATTACTATTTATATTTCTATATAAATGTTAATTATGATTAATTAATTAATTAAT